TTTTTTAGATTTGAGATTTGACAAAATCGATGAGGATTTGAGGGAAATAGATTTGGGGGTTGGAAAGAGGAGGAAAAGAGGAGTGAGGGGTGTAATTTTGGGATTATTTGGAGCATCGCCGCCGGCGGATGGCGGAGGACGGCAGCACACGGTGGCTCAGGGTGGAGGGTGGCGGCCGGAGTTTATTTTGGTCTCTGAGGATGGGGTGGACTGAAGAGGCGATGGGGGTAGGGGGGTGTGTTTGGACATATATATATTAATTGGCCCAAGCTTCAGGACCGTCCGATCAAGAAACCTCGATGGTCCTGATCTAACGCCAATGAAACGGCGTCGTTTCACTACCACAAAGCTGGACCGGGTACTATGGGTTGGGTTTGGACGGGTTGGGTGCCAAGTCTGTTTGGGCTCAGCTATTTGGGCCCAATTCTTGGGCAGCCCTCTTTACTTTCTTGTGTATTATATATTTTTTTGTATTTTGTATTTATTTTGGTTTTTTTCTTGATTTTATAAAAAATGCTAAAACAAAACAAAGACTCAATTAAACTATTTAAACTCCTAAAATTACTTAAAACTCTATTTAGAAATAAAACGCAACAATTAGCAATTAAGAGTGCAACAAGACTATTTTTTGCAATTTTTCTTTAAACTTTATTCTAAATCTAATTAATGCCTAATTAATACTAAAATTGTGAAATTAAATTCTTAAATGCATGTGCATATTTTCTGTATTTTCATATGAAAAATGCAACTAATTGACACAAAAATTTAACAAAAATCACAAAAAATTGTAAAATAATAAGGAAATCAATTATTTGAAACTTTTGGAATTAGTTTGCTTAGGGCAAAAATCACGTGCTCACAGCGTCAGAAGGCTCGTGAGGCATTTGCCGACTGTGGTTTTGACGCGGCGACGCTAGAGGCTGACGCTGGTGTAGACGGTGGCGCAGACGGCACCGTGTAAAAAGATGTTTACGCATTTTTTCTTGTCTTGTTCGCCGTTTGGCGTTTAGGTGTTTCTTGTTTTTTTTATTTCTTGTATTGATCAGCCTTGGCCGGGTGTAAGCGGGGATGACCCGCAATTGACTTTGTAAATATAAAAATTTTCTTTTCCATTGCCTGCGTTGTGCTTGTTTTGTGTCACTGTTTTTCTTTCGTTCTTTAGAGTTTTTGTTGCGCTTTTTGTTGACCGTTCACGTTGGCGGCCTTAGTCGAATTTAAATCGACGACTTTAGTCGTGATAGAATCGACGGCCTTAGCCATAAAGGCAACTTCGACCGTCTTCGGGTCGTTTACTTACCTTAGTCGAATCTAGGTCGACCGTTGGCGGCGATGGCCTTAGCCATAATATAGTTGATGACCTTGCTTTTTCAACTCGGTGCGAGCGAGTCTTAGCCATTATTTGGCGATAGCGGCGCTTAGCCTTAGTCCCAGTTCGGACGCGGTCGAACTACCGGTCGTGATGGTAGAAAACGCGGCCTCGTAGTTTGACCGGGGCCGAACTTTACGTGGCCCGAATCTTAATTCGAGTTGGGAGAACTTACTTGAATGGCGAGGGTGCCTATCCTGCGCTCCGATTTGTTGGAGGTCGGGCTTTGCTTTCACAGATGAAGGCGTTTGGCCTGAGTCTCGGTTCAACTGTGGTTGAACTTTGCTAAAGTTGAGGACGAAGGCGTCCATCCTTGCAGTTCGAGCGAGGTCGAGCTCGTTGGATTTAATGGCGAAGGCACATAGTCCGAGTCTTGGTTCAACCGTGGTTGGACTTTGTTAAATTTGGTGGCGAAGGCACATAGCTTGAGTCCCGGTTCAACCGTAGTTGAACTTTTTGGCGAAGGCGCATAGCCTGTCTTGGTTCAACTGTAGTTGAACTTTTTGGTGAAGGCACGTAGCCTGAGTCCTGGTTCAACTGTAGTTGAACTTTTTTGGCGAAGGCGCATAGCCTGTCTTGGTTCAACTGTAGTTGAACTTTTTGGCGAAGGCGCATAGCCTGTCTTGGTTCAACTGTAGTTGAATTTTACTGGCGAAGGCGCATGGCCTGAGTCCCAGTTCAACTGTAGTTGAACTTGTTGGTGAAGGCGCATAGCCTGTCTTGGTTCAAACTGTAGTTGAACTTTTTGGCGAAGGCGCATAGCCTGTCTTGGTTCAACCGTAGTTGAACTTTTTGGTGAAGGCACGTAGCCTGAGTCCCGGTTCAACCGTAGTTGAACTTGTTGGTGAAGGCGCATAGCCTGTCATGGTTCAAACTGTAGTTGAACCTTTTGGTGAAGGCACGTAGCCTGAGTCCCGGTTCAACCGTAGTTGAACTTGTTGGTGAAGGCGCATGGTGAAGGCACGTAGCCTGAGTCCTATATTGTGGGTATTGAGTGCTGAAACTCGTTTTGGATTCGAGACCTCGAGCGGATTATCCGTTGTCTTCCCAACCAGGGTATATAGGCTGTCCTGAGGCGACTCTCGGCTCGAGATATCTCCGTGCCGGTTTCTGACCGGAGCTCGTGTGCCTTACAGAGACTTTCCCTTAGGAAGGGAGGGGGAGGTTGCCTCTTCTTGTTTGCACCATCTGATAGATGAGAGGCAGAGAAACTGGATCTTGATTCGAGATCTTCGAGTTCCATCGGCCTGATATGCCGCTTTGGCTTGTTTAAGCTGGGTTGTTCTTCCTTTTCCGGCGTTTCTTTCCTTTTGGTCCATGGAAGAACTACGCGATTTTGCTATGAAATCCCCACAGACGGCGCCAAATTGTTTGCTCAAAAGTTATCATGTGTTTTATGAGTGCAAAACAATACAAATAAGTTACGGAAAAATCATAGCAAATCGTAATAATCCATTGGACCAAGCGAAGAACATGAAAATAAGTACTCAAGGTTAGGGGGAGAAACATTGGAAGCCTTTATTGATAATATTGGTTTGGTCTGCCTCTCCATGAAGAGGTTCAGAGCCTTACAATGGTGTTTTCACTTCCCATAAGATGGGTGTGTTTTTATCCTCTCTCTCTCTCTCTCTCTCTCTCTCTCTCTCTCTCTCTCCATAGTGGTGAAGAAGCAGCCCCCCTTTTCTAGGACTTCCACTCTTAGTATTTATAGCTGTGAGCTTCGTGATCTGGCGATAAGTGGTCGTGACCACGTTGGGATCTCACCTTTATGGTGGCGGATAGGCCATGGCCTTGTCGATCGAACCAGATGCGGGTTGAACATCGTCAATTCTGAGTGGTCGTGCCATTAATTAATCATGAATTAACTTAAAACGGGATTAGCCTCGTTAATTATCGTGGGGTCGAATTCTGACCCATACAGGCTGTATAAAAATATAATAAAATAGAGTAAATAAAGCAAGCAATTCACATAATAAAAAACTGAATAATCTAAAGGCTAAAACTAATACTAAAAACTGATTTTAAAACTGATAATTGAAAGCTAAAGACTGAATTTGTATATGATACTGAAAGCAATTAAAAGCTGTTAACTGAATTTGTATCTGATAACTAAAAGCTAACGGAAAGTTGAGTCATTCTTACAGAGAAACTTTTTTGAAAACTTTGCACATAGTGGCCTGTGTACGTGAGCATCTAAGAACACGCACTAAAAAATACCATCATATTTCCCCATCAAATAACTAGCATCTACAAGCATTACAAGCAATTACACACAAACAAATAGTTACACATAAGCAAATACTATAACAAGTCATACAATCTAATTATTTTCTGTCATAGATGTTACAATTGTATATATAGTTTATTATGAAAAGAATAGGGCAAACAAACAAGTGATTCATTATGTGCATTTTAATATAGCCATTGACTTAGGGAAGAAACATATATACACTTGAATAAACGGTGAAGAACCTCTACTAAATACCAACGAGCTCGTCTATTCAATCCCTTCGAAAACCCATAATAAACAGCTAAAACTGTTAACTACAAACTCAAACTATTTTCCTAAATTTAGGTTTTACTTGGCCATAAATGATTCGCATCGTTCCTACCCTTGAACTTCATCATTCTTATGATACAAACATTGTTAAATGCCATAAAGTTTCTAATTTTAATAGTGGAAAGCAAAGAAATTAATGTTAACTTTGTTCTTGAAAACTCTAGGCCTTGGGTATTGAAGAACTCTCGCGATCTCTGATGGATATTTAGGAATTTGAAATTTACAGATATTAAATGATGTCAATGTAATATTTCTTAACTTGAATATTTTTGAAAAATTACCTTAGGTGGTGTGGGATGATCTTGGCTTAATAACTCCTTAAAAGGTACAAATCCAAACTCTTTCGGATGTTAAGAATGAGAAAAATATGTTTTTGGCCTTTTAGAGGAATGGGGTAACCGTTGGCCAGGGTTAGGATGATTGTTGCCAAGATTGGGGCGGCCACTGCCACGGTTGGGGCGACTGTTGCCACGGTTAGGGTTAGCATTACCACGATTGAACCAAACATTGGCCACGGTTAGCCTATACCTTCAGGTCATTCCCCTTCGCTTTTTGCTAGAATTTGCCACGGTTGGGGCAACCGTTGCCATGGTTGGCACAAGCTTTGTTGGTTGTTTTGCTATTCTTTAGCAAAAATATTATAACTTCTTAAAAATGTCATAATAACACACCATTTGAAGCTATGGAAAATAGACTCAAAGAATTTCATCTGATGGCTCATAGCTCAAGTCATTATACTTTAGAAGATATGATCTTTTGAAATTGAGACGTGGGACTATATTCACTTTTTTCTCTTAAATAATTTTAATTTATTCCATCCACCTCTCGCCTCTTCTAAATATCTATACCGACTAAAAATAAGAGTTAGGTATTACAAACCTTCAAAACTCTTTGAATATTCGTGCGGTTAACTTAGAGGCTGAACCGAGACATAATGCTTAGGGAGAAAAAATTTAGGACATTACATTGAGTGTGATGGTATATGTGATCGCATTTACTAAATCAGAAATATCTATGAAACACTCATTATAATATGTTCATATCTAACACGTAAGCCTACCACTTGTTCGGAGTACAAACCAAAAACTAGTTTAAGCGAATGTTTGAAGACGATCGGCCAACGGGAGAGGAACGAATAGGCTTATATAATCGAATGAACCTCGGTCATAATTATTTTGTATAGTAGGAATTTGGCTTTTAACTGCGCAATTATGTAAATGTTTCGTGCTCCATCTTTGGATGCAACTAAAAACTTCTTTAATAGAATTTAATTAAGTACTATTCGTTAGTGGTGTAAAAAAATTTATGAAGTCAAAATAAATTGCCTTCCTACAACATGTTATATATGATTTGATGATAGCTAATTCCAATTTTCCGAAGAAGGAGGAGCACTTGATTACCTTCCGTAGTATGGTGACTAAGACTCGGATAGATTACTTGCTCTTTAAGAAAGGTGATAGAGGTCTATGTAAGGAATGCAAGGCTATTCCCAGTGAAAATATTTATACGATCCAACCCAAGCTCTTGGCTATGTACGTATTGATTAAGAGGAAGAAGCAGAAGAGAGCTATGTATGGCCAACCAAGGATCAAATGGAATGGCTTGAGTGAGTTCAAGTCTAAAGGAGATGTGGGAGAAGTTAAAGGCAGTGGGGGCTTAGGGTAGTAGAGGGGATGCAAATAGTATGTGGAATAGAAAAGTTAATTGCATTAGGAATGTAGCTAAAGAGGTGTTTGAGGTCTCGAAGGGTCACTTTTGTAGGCACTAAGGGCATGGTAGTGGAATAAAGAGGACCAAGGAAAAGTGAAATCCAACAAGATGGCCTATACAAAGTTAGTGAAGAGCAAAGACGAGGACGAATAGGAAGAGGTATAAGACGGTGAAGAAGGAAACAAAGTTAGCGGTTTCGGCTGTAGAAGGGCTGCATTTAAATGCTTCTATGTATAAATGGAGGACAAAGTAGGGATAAGAAGTTGTACAGACTCGCTAAGGTGAGAGAGAAGAGGAAGATTTGAACCAAGTGAAGTGTATCAAAGACGAGGAAGGCAAAGTATTAGTGGAGGGGGCACATATTTGGTAAAGATGGCAGACATGCTTCCATAATCTCTTGAAAAGAGGGAGACAAGAATATTGTTTAATGATTTTGAACATTCCAAAAGGTATTGTGATTTTGGGTATTGCATGCATATAAAATTCGAGGAGGTTAAGGGGGCTATGCGTAAAATAAGGAGGAAAGAGCGACCAGGTAAAACGAGATACCAATAAAATTTTGAAAGAGCGCAGGCAAAACATGTATGGAATGGCTAACTAGGTTATTTAATGTTATTTTTAGGATGAAAAAAAAATGCCCGAAGAATGGAGGTGGAGTATAAGATTTTGTTGTACAAGAACAATGGCGATATTCAAAATTGCAACAACTATAGGGGTATCAAGCTACTTAACCGCACGATACAAATTTGGGAGAGGGTGGAAAAGATGAGGATTTGTATGGGATTTTTATTTTCGAAAACCAATTTAGATTTATGTCAGGGCAATCCACTACAGAAGTCATTCATCTTTTTAGGAGATTAGTGGAGCAATATAGGGAGAGAATGAGTGACTTACATATAGTGTTTATTGACCTAGAAAAAGCAAACGATAAAGTTCCAAGGGAGGTTCTATGGAGATGTTAAGAGGCAAGAGATGTACCTATGGCATACATTAGGCGATTAAGAATATACACGATGGGGCCAAAACCCAGGTAAAAGAAGTGGGAGGAGACTCGGAGTACTTTCTAGTAGTGATGGGGTTGAACTAGAGATCAGCTCTTAGCCTATTTCTTTTTGCTTTGGTGAGGGATGTATTGATGCAGCATATCTAAAGGGGGAGGTTCCATGGTATATGCTATTTGCAGATGATATAGTATTTATTCACGAGACGTGCTGCGGAGTTAATGTTATGTGGAGGTTTGGAGACAGGCTCTAGAGTCTACAGGCTCCAGGTTTAGTAGGACTAAGACAGAACTTGAAGTGTAAGTTCAGTTATGGCAGATGTTGAAGTGAGGATTGATACATAAATTTTTCCCAAGAGAGGAAGTTTCAAGTATTTTGGATCAATAATCCAAGAAAGTGAGGAGATTGACGATGATGTCACATATCGTATTGGGTGGCATGGATGAAATGGATGTTGGCATTTGATGTCTTGAGCGGTAAGAAAGTATCATAAAGACTTAAAGGTAAGTTCTATAGAGAGGTTGTTGGACCAGCTATGTTGTATAGGGAGGAGTGTTGGCCAGTCAAGAACTCTAACGCTCAAAAGTTGAAAGCAGCGAAAATAAGAATGTTGAGGTGGATGTGCGGGCATAGTAGGAAAGATATATTTTGGAACGAAGTTATTCATGACAAGGTTTGAATGACCTATGTAGATAATAAGATAAGGGAAGCGAGGCTGAGATAGTACGGACATGTGAAAAGGAGATGCACAAATTGCCTAGTGAGGAGGTGAGAGAGTTTGGCTGTTATGGGTCTTAGAAGTGGTAGAGGTAGGATGAAAAAATATTTGGGGGGATGTTATTAGACAGGACATGGCATGTCTGTAGCTTACTGAGGACGTGACCCTAAATAGGAAGATATGGAGTCGAAGATTAGGGTAGAAAGTTAGCAGGTCGTCGAGTTTGGGACACCATATCTGCTCCATTTTTTTCATTATCAATATTAGTATTATCATCTCATAATTTCTTATTCTTCAATTTTCATTAATGTCTACTCTTCCCCTTGCTTTGGTTTTTATTGCTTTGTTATGTTGTTACTCTTAATGTTCTTATCTTTAGAATTTTCAATATGGCCTCTTCATCATTATTTTCTTGTTCAAACCTGCTGAATTTTTTTTTTGAGCTTAGGGTCTTTCGAAAATAGCCTGTCACGACCCTAAACCCAAATCCGGTCGTGATGGCGCCTCTCGTGAAGACAAGGCCAGCCGACACACTTCCAATTCACTTTAAGCAATTAAAATAATAAATACTAAGTCTTTAACAGAATTTATAATCCCAAAATAAAGGTTAACAGTATAATTTGCGAAATTCAAGAAAAGAAAACCAACACAGCCCGACATCGGGGTGTCACCAGTCATGAGCATCTAAAACAATACTAGAAGTCTGAAAGTCTACTCTACCACTACATAACTAACTCAAAGAGAATAAAACAGAGGGAGAATGCACTGGGCTGCGAATCGCCAAGCAGCTACCTAGTAAATCTCCGAAGATCTGCTGGAACTATCAACCCTCAGTAGCAGGACCTGTAGCGCCCGAATCTGCACACAGGGGTGCAGGGAGTAAAGTGAGTACTCCAACTCAGTGAGTAATAACAATAAATGAAGACTGAGCGATATAAAATTACGTTAAACACAACAATAAGCTATAAGAGGCAGATCAAAGTCAATAAACACAATTAAGCAGTGAAATCTCATGAAACACCTTTTAAACAGTCAAACAAATAAAGTAAAAGCAGCTAGAAAGATAAACACACAAGAACCGCCCCTCGGGCTCAGTAACAACAACAGAATCAGCCCCTCGGGCAATATCATAGAACAATACCAGCCCCTCAGGCTATATCTCATATCACAATGGGTACCCGCGCTCACTAGGGGTGTACAGACTCTGGGAGGGCCCCCTTACGGTCCAAGCGCAATATCAAGCCATCTCGTGGCATCATAAACAGGCTCTCGGCCTCTTATCAATCTCAAGCCACCTCGTGGCTGAGTTTTTGAAAACAGGAAAATATGGCATGACTGAGCACAAGTATGAAATCAAACAGTGAGGAAAATATCAGTAAAAATTCCCTAAGGGTTCAAATAGTTGGCACGAAGCCCAAATATGGCATTTAGCCCAAAACATAACAATATCAAACAATTAACTATCAATTACGCAGTAAAACAGTCATTCGGGATGGACTAAGTCACAACCCCCAACGGTGCACTACCCACGCTCGTCATCTAGCGTGTGTGTCACCTCAACATAGCCGAACGCTGTGTAATCCGGGGTTTCATACCCTCAAGACAGCATTTAAAATCATTACTCACCTCAATCCGGCCCGAAATCTAGCTCGCAATGCCTTTGCCCTTCAAATCGGCCTCCGGATGCTCCGAATCTACCAAAATCAGAACGTAACCATTAAATTATGCTAAAGGGACGAAGCCCACTCGAAAATAATCGAAAAACATCAGAAATCCCAAAATTACCAAAATCCGACCCCCGGGCCCACATCTCGGAATTCAATAAAATTAACATCATTAGATTCCTTATCTCCCCACGAGTTCATACATATAAAAAGTTCCAAAATCCAACCACAAATGGTCTTCCAAAACCTCGATCAAAGGGCTAGGCTTCTAAGCCCTAGTTTCTCTAATTTTACCTTTAATTACAACTCTAATCCGTGCATTAAAACCATAGAATCGAGTTTTTAGGTCCAAAATTCTTACCTCAATGAGTTCTCCTTGAATTCTCTCTTCAAACTCGCCCAAAGCTCTCAAATTCGTGTTTAAAAGTGAAGAAACCCTCTGAAAATCACGAAGGAGGGAATATAACATTCTGACCCAGGCATTTCCGCATCCGCGGTCCAGATTCCCGCTTTTGCGGTACCGCATCTGCGGTCTTGACCACCGCATATGCGGTCCTCACTTAAGTCCCCATTTTTCCACATCTGCGATGAAATATACCGGACCTGCGCCTTGACAGATGCGGTCCCACAACCGCTCCTGCGGTTCCTGCCAACTCCACCAGCTTCCGCTTCTGCGACCAATCTTCCGCATATGTGGCGTCGCACCAGCGGTCCCCAATCCATAGGTGCGGAAATACCAGAAGCAGAAAAATCTGCAGCTTTATCAAAATTCCAAACTCTCCGTCAAACATCCGAAATCACCCCGAGGCCCCCGGGACCCCAACCAAAAGCACAAACATATCCCATAACCTTATTCAAACTTATACCAATCTTCAAAACACCTCAAACAACATCAAAACCACCAAAACACATCGAATTCAAGCCTAAGGTTCTAAAATCTTCCGCACTCCGCTTTGGATCAAAAAGTATACCAAACCATGTCCGAATGACCTGAAATTTTGCACACACATCCCAAATGACATAACGAAGCTACTGCAACTTCCGAAATTCCATTCCGACCCCTATATCCAAATCTCACCTATCAACCGGAAAACGCCAAAAACTTAATTTCGCCAATTCAAGCCTAATTCTACTCCGGACCTCCAAAACACATTCTGGTCGCACTCCTAAGTTCCAAATCATCTCCCGAAGCTATCCGAACCATCGGAACTCACATCCGAGCCCTCTAACACATAAGTCAACATCCGGTTGACTTTTCCAACTTAAACTTTCTTAAAAGAGACTAAGTGTCTCAAACCTTCTCAAAACCTTTCCGAACCCGAGCCAACCAACCCGATCACATATAAAATCGATAAATAAAGCAATAAGAAGCAGAAAATGGGGGAAACGGAGCGGTAACTCATGAGACGACCGGCCGGGTCGTCACATCCTCCCCCTCTTAAACAAACGTTCGTCCTCGAACGAGTCAAGAAACATGCCTGAAGCCTCAAATAGGTGAGGATATCTGCTGCGCATCTCCCGCTCGGTCTCCCAGGTAGCCTCCTCCACGGGCCGACCTCTCTATTGCACTTT